GGCAAGTGGGTTAAAAGCGGCGTTTAATTGGATAACAAAAATAATCGAGATCGACCCAAATACAGATAAATTTAGAGTGGATTCAAGTTAGCTTGATCCATGGCGTGATTGTCATAATTATAACATTGTATTAAAACTTTATTTGGTGGAAACACATTGACCAAGCCCGGATTATTATTTCATAAATTATTACGCAGATCAAGCTGCAAGCATGGAGATAAAAAAGAAGAGAGGTGTGAATTCGACATTCAACACCAATCACCAAACAATTCAGAAACTTTTAGCCTTCGAAAATGAAAACAGTTAGCAGTGTGTAAGGGCTGTGTAATTTCCTGTTTGTCCGATGCTTTGTTTTCGTGTCACTGTCAAAAATATTGCTACCTTTTACTTAACAGGGACTAAATGGAAACGATAATCAGGATCGCAAAAAAAAGTCAACTGATTTGAAACACTTGCCGGACGTCTCTCTCTCTCTTCTGAAATCCGCCTCGGTGATCATGGGCTGGTCCGGAATCTATTTCTTTCAAAAGTGTTGCGCCAGGTTTATGTTGTCGGCGTTTCTCTTTAAACCTTGTTCTTTTTTTTATGGACGAGGACAGTTGAATGAATCTAAGGTTAAATGATGTTGCACTTTCGGGTCGATAAGAAACATGTGAATACTTACACTGCAACTGCCCACAACACAACATCTAAAAACTCTCTCTCTCAATAAAAAAATAAAATAGACAAAAAAGTATGTATACTGAACGACCAGTGTTATTACGGCTCAGGAGTATAACTTCCTCTCACATTTTGGCATTTGGTGGCGCAATTTCGGCGAGAGTCGGAAATCCGGAAACAATCGACCGTTTCACGATAGGTGGGCATGGCTACAGCACGAGAAATATCCCAAATTTACTTGGATACGAGTAATCATTTTCAGCAAAAAAATCAATAACTGCCCATTTCAGTGGGACATAGATCTAAAATGGGAAACGTGAGGGTGGGCATTGCACAGGCACTTTAAATAACAAAGAGACATATTGAAATATGAGTTATATCCTTCTACAACAGCATTGGCCTCATCTAGCTGGTCACCTTTAAATAACAAAGAGACATATATTAAAAATACTCATGTCCCTTGTCAGCAACTAACAACAACAAATTGTGCGCATAACATTTTTATGTTCCAATTTTAGAAAAAAATAAAGAAAATTGTAATAACAACTCCATTACTCAGTATGCAACATCAGGAGATACTTCATTGACCAAACCTTCTGGGGGAGAGAGGGGCTTTATTTTCTACTAGTCTAAACAATTAGAAATACATTTCCTCGCCTTTTAACTGTAATAATGCACACACATCAATATCTTCTTTTCTACCAGATCAGATCTTTTAAGTATGCCTGTGCAAATACAACAAAGTTTTTAAAACAAAACTGAAATAAACATACCAGGGGTAATATAGTATTCAGGACATTTTCCAGAGAATATTAAAAGTAAGGTAGAGTTTCTTGCCTGAATTTTCCAGAGAATATTAAAAGTAAGGTAGAGTTTCTTGCCTGAATTTGACAGAGAATATTAAAAGTAAGGTAGAGTTTCTTGCCTGAATTTGACAGAGAATATTAAAAGTAAGGTAGAGTTTCTTGCCTGAATTTGACAGAGAATATTAAAAGTAAGGTAGAGTTTCTTGCCTGAATTTGACAGAGAATATTAAAAGTAAGGTAGAGTTTCTTGCCTGAATTTGACAGAGAATATTAAAAGTAAGGTAGAGTTTCTTGCCTGAATTTGACAGAGAATATTAAAAGTAAGGTAGAGTTTCTTGCCTGAATTTGACAGAGAATATTAAAAGTAAGGTAGAGTTTCTTGCCTGAATTTGACAGAGAATATTAAAAGTAAGGTAGAGTTTCCTGCCTGAATTTGACAGAGAATATTAAAAGTAAGGTAGAGTTTCCTGCCTGAATTTGACAGAGAATATTAAAAGTAAGGTAGAGTTTCCTGCCTGAATTTGACAGAGAACTTGGCATACTAATGCTGTTAAAGAGCAATATTATGTATAATGCTGTCAAGATGAGAACACTGTGACACTAGTTTCCATTTCTGTACAAATTATAGACAGTAATAGATGAAAAAAAACATGTTGAAAATCGACTTAACTGTAAGACTCAAATACCAAAAAATTTACTAAAATAAAATCAATAATTTCAGACATACCAAGTCAGAATTCCCTGTCGTCTCACTTAAGGTAGCGGGACTATTATTTGCATACTTGTTTTCATCTTCTAATTGTGACTAAATGACTACAAATAGACCCGGGAAAGTATATATTTTTAGAATCGCCAGACTTCAAGCTTTTCACAAGTGTATTTTGCATGCCCGTATCTGCATTCTACGACGCGTTACTCAATCAAAGGTGAAAAATTACTTTTTCTGTAAAAAAAATAATTACGCATTTATGCTGGCGGTAAGAAGTATTTTTTTCACTTTTCCTAGTTGTTCAATAGTCTGGTAAATTGAATGTGTCTGGTCAGTTTTATTCAAGCAACGCGTTTTAAAAAATAGTGTGCTGAATTTCAATTACTGTTTTAGTCGCAATGTCCCCAATTCAAACCACAACTCGTTGGTTAATAATCGATGAAATAGTTTGTCTGGACACATTCAAGTTCCTTTCATTGTCACCTTAAAGCTGTGAAAATTTGGTGTTAATCCGACGACAATAAGTATACGTTATTTTTTGTTAAAGGGCCTTGTATTGTGAAAAACATAAAATCCTAGAAAACGTCCATGA